GGACATCCAGTTTCTTCTCCTTCATAACATCCACAATCATCTCTTTCTTATCATTTGCACAACATTCACGCACATTCAGACTTCCCACTTCGACAATTTTCTTCTTCTTATTCTTTTTAGTAATCTTTACAGGAAAAGGGGTTACTAGCCCATTGTTCCCAGTATTTTAGTTGACTTTTACAACACGCATTGCTTACGGAGGAAAGATTCTTATTCCACTTCCCCATGGGTATAAAAGGAAAAGTAATAAGACCAAGAACTATTAAGATAAAATCAAAGAAAACTCAGATGAGTGTGTATTAATAAACGTGTACATGTATGTGTAGTGTGACCTAAGTGTAAGTAGAAGTAGGAAGACGTACCTGTAATCTTGCATGTTTATGAGACAGAAAAAAGGACACCAGCAATTCTACCATCATGTAAAACAATTACAGGCTTTCGTTTTACACTCACTTGGCAGGACAGTAGTACCTCCCTGGGTGGTTGCTGTCTACCAACCTACTACCTATATATATATACATTACATACAGTATTGGTCTCACAGGCCACAATGTTACTAGAAAAATAAAAAAAATTAGAAAAGACAAGAAAAAAGTATAAAAAACGCAAAATAAATTATTATTATTATTATAATCAAAAAGAATTATTATAATCAAAAAGAAGCGCTAAGCCACAAGGGCTATACAGTGCTGCAGGGCAGGAAGGAAGCGAGGGCATCAGGTGGCAAAAGGGGGGTGGATGAGTAATAGGTTACGGATAACAGCGGGGCAGTGGATGGTGAAAGGGTAAAGGGCAGCAAGAGACTGAGCTAGAAAGGGCTGAGGGGAGTGCGTAAGGTATCATCATCAGAGTTTGTGGAGTAAATCAGTCGTTGTCAAGAAGTCAATGAGAGAGTCAGGATTAAAGGAGGGTCCATCAGCAAGAAGGGAAGGTAAAGAGAGAGTAGTAGAACGAAGACGGCGTTGGAGGTAAATTCTGTGTGCTCGTTGATAGAGAGGGCAGTCTAACAGAATGTGGCTATCGATACTGGAACTTGACACTGCTCACAGAGAGGAACAGGGTGCCTCTCCATGAGATACCCGTGAGTAAGACGAGTGTGGCCAATGCGAAGGCGGGAGAGAGTGGTCTCCCAACCACAGCACTGATGACAAGAAGACGGCCAGTAACCTATGCTCGGTTTAATAGAATGAAGTTTGTTACCAAGCAGAGTTGACCAACGTTGTTGCCAACGGGTGTGAAGGTGGGTAGCTATTGCAGCAAAATAGTCCAGAAATGGAACACCTCTATAGGAAATTGGTAGGTCATGTACTGCTGACCGCGCAGCAGTGTCTGCCTGTTCATTGCCCTGTACGTCGACATGACCAGGGACCCAACAAAAAATAATATCTTTATGCTTGGTAGAGATACGGCGTAGCCAAAGCTGGATACGGAGAACTAGGGGGTGAGATGTATCAAATTTTCCTATAGCCTGTAGAGCACTAAGGGAGTCTGAGATGACCACAAATGATGACACAGGCATAGATGCGATACGAATAAGTGCCGCAAGAATGGCATACAATTCAGCAGTAAAAATGCTAGCCGAAGATAGTAAATGCCCCCGCACGACACTGTCCGGAAATACTGCTGCGAATCCGACGCCATCTGAAGACTTGGAGCCATCTGTGTACACAGCAATGGCATGAGAATGGGAGTGGAAGTGATCAAGAAAAAGAGAGCAGGAAGCCACCGTAGGCAGTTGACCTTTCGAGCAAGGGAGTGAGAAAGAACAGACCTGAACAGCTGGAACTTCCCAGGGGGGTAGGGAAAAGTGAGATGCTACATGAACATATAAAGGTGGTAACTGAAGGGAAGACAAGAGCGAATGTAGGCGAAGAGAAAAGGGACGGAGCAAACAGGGGCGACGAACGAATAAGGAATGTCTACTAATATCGGTGACCATTCTATAAATGGAAGGATTGTGGAGATCGTGAGAGTGTACATAGTAGCGAAGGCAATGGGCATCACGGTGATCAGACAAGGATAGAACATTCGCTTCTGCATAGAGGCTCTCAACAGGGGAAGAGCGAAAAGCACCAAGGCACAAACGTAATCCTTGGTGATGGATGGGGTTAAGGCTAGAGAGAGTAGCAGGAGAGGCCGCTGAATAAATCTGGTCACCATAATCGAGTTTCGATAAAACGAGGGCTGAATGTAGGCGAAGCAGAGTTCAACGATCAGCTCCCCAGGAAAGATGAGCAAGGGTTTTAAGAAGGTTTAGCCGGCTGTGACAAGATGCCTTCAGAGAGGTAATGTGAGGTTTCCAGGATAACCTACAGTCAAAGAGAAGGCCTAGAAACCTGACTGTATCACGTTCGGGGATACGGGAGCCATAGAGATACAAAGGATGATCGGAGATGACAGAGCGTCTAGTGAAAGTAATTTGGTGAGTTTTGGTACTGGAAAATTTAAACCCATGTGTGGTGGCCCAAGTGGAAACACGGTCGACCGCATGCTGGAGAGAAACTGCAATGAGATGACAGTCAGCGCCTGCACAAGCAATAGCGAAGTCATCAACATAGGGTGATGACCAAATATTGGGTGGAAGAACAGAGGCCAAATCATTTATAGCAAGGAGAAAAAGTGTTGTGCTTAGAACACATCCCTGAGGGACACCTTCAGCTTGGACGAAGTCTGGGGAAAGAACATTATTGACTCGAACACGGAAATGTCTGTCAGTTAAAAAGTTCTTAAGGAAGGATGGTAGATTGCCTCAGAGGCCTAAGGAGTGGGCCTGGGCCAAAATATTATACCTCCAAGTTGTGTCATATGCCTTCTACGCAAAATAAAGAAATGTGGTTTTGTGGAAATCGCTGATGTTGCCACCACCTGGTCATTTTGAGTCAACTTCTCGCCTCTGTATCTCAGTAAGTACTGATCAGAATTTTTTTTTTGTTTTATTACCTTCACAAAAATATACTCTTTAATTCTGTAAGGATAATTTTTTTTTTTTTTTTAATTCAGATTTTGCTTTTGGACCCTGAAAGGGTTAAGGTAAAAAAAAAATTTTTTTTTAATACTTCTGGGTGTCTGAAATGGATTAATTGGATTTACATTATTTCTTATGGGGAAAATGGCTTCAGTTTTCACTGATTTCCATTTTCACTGATCTCTCTGGAACGGATTAAACATGATGACAAAGGAGGATGACAAAGTAGATCCCATGTATCAGAAATCTTTCCTATCAAGATAGACTGAGGGTCCTGAATCTGCACTCTCTAGAAAGGCATAGAATTTGGGGGGATATGATTGAGGTGTATAAATGGAAAACAGGAATAAATAATGGGGATGTAAATAGCGCTAAAAATATCTAGCCAAGACAGGACTCACAGCAATGGCTTTAAGTTGGAAAAAATCAGGTTAAGGAAGGATATAGGAAAGCATTGGTTTGGTAAGAGTTGTGGATGAGTAGAACAAATTCCCGAGTATTGTCATAGAAGCTAAAATGTGTAGTTTTAAAAATAGGTTAGATAAATACATGAGTGGGTGTGGGTGGGTGTGAGGTGGACCTGACCAGCTTGTGCTACTAGGTCAGATGTCATGCTCCTTCCTTAAGTGAATGTGACCTGACCTGACTAGGTTGGAGCATTGGCTTGGACCGGTAGGGGATTTGGACCTGCCTTGCATGGGCCAGTAGGCCTGCTGCAGTGTTTCCTCTTTCTTATGTTCTAGGCCTCTAACAGGTTTTGGCACTTTCAAATTTCCTGAAATTTCAGTCTTCCTTTCGCCTATTTCACTTTTAAGAGTTCGTTGTCACTTGTTGGGTTGTTCACTGACACAGTCACTATAACTGGCTTCTGCTAAGAGCTAAAACACCCCTAAAAACACTTAAAATTCTGGGAGCCTTCTTACCCTTACACTCTGACCACGCACGTGTGTGCGCAACTCTATATAATGAGGGTCCCAGAGTGCATACTGATGCATATTTGTCAATGGCTATTGGTACCAACAAAAATGGCTGCTTCAGCTGTTGTTGAGCCACCATATTTGCTTGGCAATTTTTGACACTATAAGTATCATAACACACAGTAAATATGATTACCAGTACCTAGTAATAAAGTGAAAATACCCAGCATATGCTAATGATAGCATGGTATACAGTAGCATTACTTTAAAGTGCCTACCATAAATGACACTGCTTTGTGACTTTGGTAGTTTAAGAAATAAGAAAAGGTGTTACTTAAGGAGGAATTTTGTTTCCTGTCAATATCCCAGTACAGTATCCATATTTCATAGATGGCTCATCTCAAAATGTTATTTACTGTAATATTGAAACATTAGACTTGTTTTAGTTTCAATGGCATGGCATCGGACATAACTGGGAGAGCTACAGCCCACTCCACACCCCAAACTTATAGCTCCTGTCACTGACCTTTACTTTATAGGATGCATGGTAGTTTTTGGAGACATTTTATGGAAAAAATGCGTCTAATAAGCCGCGAAATACGGTATATACACAGCCTCTCCTCACTTAGTGATGTACTCGTTTAGCAACGGCTCGGTCTTACAATGGGCTCTCTGGCCAGTTTCCATACCTAAATAATGTATTTTAGAGCTGATTTCCTCTACTCTGTTTATTACTATATACAGTACACTACTGTAATGTATAAACATTTAAAAATATACCAGAAATGTTATAAATGGTGCAAAGGTGATATTAAAACAATATCAATGATGGTTGACACAAACCCACTGTCATTATATGCTCCTCACTTAGTGACGTATTTGTTTACCGACGTGGTCTTAGGAACGGAACTCAGTCATTGAGTGAGGAGAGGATGTATGTATATGTATGCATGGAATTACACAGGCACAGTTAACCCCTCGTTTCATAGGAAAAGGCTAGAAGGTAGAACTCAACTCTTATAAAATTGGTTTGGTGTAACTCAGAGACTTTGTATGCCTTTTAATTGATGTTTTCTATCTCCAACATAACACAAAAGATTTGTCAGGTTAAAAAAATATTACAGAAGGCATATTTATTGTAATTTTAAATATTACATTATTTACACCATGTAACTTACAATGATTAACATATGTAAGAGCATTCACTCTTAATTTTTTTTAGCAACAGCAACTACTAAACAATATTTAGGCATTAATAAGGGTGGTACCAATTACTTTGCAGTGTAAAGATATACAATGAAAACATAAGACAAACGACTGCATTTAATGGTGCTGATCTTCATGACTATGGTCTCCTCCAAGTGCTCGTTCAACAGCAACAGTTGCAAGTGCAGCAATCAGTCCCCACTTGAATCCTCTGAAAAGCACTTTCATAAAGCGCTCACCATGTGTACCAAACTTAGGATCGTACCGCCATACCTCATTCCTGTGAATAACAAAAAGTTTTGTCCTTATTCTACATTATTATTACTGTTATAATCAAAACTAAGCACTAAACCTACCAGGGTCATAGAGCACTGCAGGGTAGGGTGTGTGAACTGCATAATATGCTTGATCTGAAACTAGTAAGGGTGGAGAGTATAATGGAGATATATTTCATAGGGGTGATGAGTGCTAAAGGAAGTATAATCCAAGGTTGCTGTTAAAAAGTCAAAGAGGGAGTCTGTGTCAAAGGTGGGGCCGTCAGCTAGGAGAGAAGCTAAAGTGAAGGTGTTAGTGTGGTGACATCATCAGAGGTAAATTCTGCATGCTCACTGGTAAACAGGACAGTCCAGTAAAATATGGGAAACTTAAATTAATAATAATAATAATAATGTTTATTTCAGCATGATACAATGTTTGTACAAAGGTGAATGACATTTGGGCATACATACCAAAAGCCCCTTTATGTGCAGAGCATTTCTGACAAACTTAAAACAATTCGCAAAGAGTGGAACTGGGAGTCTCTCCATGAGATACCCACGAATAAGACGTGTGTGCTCGATGCAAAGACAGGGAAAGCAAAATCTCCCAACTACAACATCGATTATGAGAAGACCAGGATCCTCAACTTGGCTTGATAAAATTTGATTTGTTATGAATTGACTCAGACCAATGTTACTGCCAACACTTGTGAAGGTGGCTAGAGGTCACAGCAAAATACATTGGAACCTCGGTACTCGAACAGCTCCCTACCGAACACTTTGTTCAGTAATAAATCACTCGGTAGTCGACCGTTTGCTCAGCACTTGGCCAAACAAACACAACCTGCCAGAACTTCACTGTAAACTATTTCATGTTTCTTTGCATTTTTTGGTGTTTTTTAATATTTGTACAGTGGTCCCTCGTTTTTCGTAAGCATCGGAAGTCGTAATTTTTTAAAATCGTAATTTTTTTCGTCAAAACACTGACTCGCAAATAGTCATTCATCCCAGACATGTATGCATGCCTCGAGCAGCCCCACACTTCATTCCCAACCAGTGTGCCATTGTTTATCAGTCAGTGAGGACGATCCCATGCATTCATATGATACATTTCATAATATTCCATTCATTTTAGTGCTTGCAACTGCTAAATAAGTCACCAGGGGCCCAAAGAAAGCTAGTGCCAGCCCTTTGGTAAAGAATGTGAGAAACACGATATAATTTAAGAAAAAGTTTGTAGAAAAATACAAAAGTGGTGGTGGTAGAGGATGGTAGTGATGGTGGTAAAGGGTGGTAGTGATGGTGGTAGAGGGGTGCCTTCTTCAGTAATTCAATGATTTTACTAACTCCTCCAATATTGTTGGAGTTATATAGGGCTACATAAAACACTGCCACCTCAGCTGCAGTCTTCACCGACATTATGTTTGGCTTATGCTCTCAGTGGCCTTTATACACCCAACAACAACAACAACACAACACTAGTCGTGACATACATAATGACTTATTTTATTCATTCTAGAGTATATTCCATGTTTCTGTGTTATTAATATTGTTTATTATGTCATATTAGTTGAACTGTGATAGACAAATAAGCCAAAGAGTTGATATTAGTGTTGTTTTCTCCAACAATAAACTCGCCTCCCCTCCCTCTGCCATACACCAACAAGTCTTCAATAGAGGTAAGTGTGATGTTAAATTTTCATTTATACATTTTATTAGTGCTTTACATTTATTTGTCATTCTTTTCTGCATGTAAATCTATATTTAACCCTTTGACTGTTTCGGTCATATATATACGTTTTACGAGGTACCATGTTAGACGTATATAGAGAGGAGACAGAAGACACAAGAGAGAGGAGGGATACACACAGAGAGAGAGGAAGGAAGGTCTGACCTCAGCCAGGTCAGATCAGGTCACGCTCTGACCCAGGCCACCGCCTGGGATGGTGCGATCAGTGTTCAGAGTGGATTACTCAGTGTTCAGAGTGACTCACGCCGAGAGCGAGAGAGATTGCAGCAGCAGCAGCAGACGTGGACGTTTGAGTAGCAGCGAGCCGACGGTGCATACGTGCGTGTAGCACCGGCCGGCGAGCTAGCCGCGGCCTGAGCGCCTCTGCGATTGGTCACCGCATTGACCAATCAACGACGCCTCTACCGCGAGCACATGAGAATATTTTAGACATCCCTATGATCCCCATTGGGGAGGGGAACACTGCTACCCACGATGTATTACTCTAATAGAGTAAAGATTCAGCCAGCGAGTGGAACAATCAACGACTCAACTAAGCTAGCACTTGCATCTGTCGTTAGTGGCAGATTGCACGTTAAGTGCAATGTGATTCTATCACTCAAAGAAGCCTTCATTGTCATCTGTACTGACGACACCGAGGCCGAGAAACTACTCACCACTACTGCTGTCTCCACGCTACAAGATCATGGATTCTCTGTTCTGAATTCCCCAGCACTGAGGGCCAGAAGAACTGTGTTCCTCAGGAGACTCGACAGACTCATCACTACACACACTACTGAAGAGATCAAGTTGTCCATTGAAGCAAAGAATTCCTGGCCAAGGTGGAATTTCTTACCAAGATACCCAAACGCCTCCTCCATGCTGAAGGTCACCTTCAGTGACGTCAACATGGCAGCCAGAGCCCTCGCTGAGGGCCTGGCTATACACTACTTCCATATCAACCCAGCCTTCATTGAAGCAGAAAAATACCAACAAATCCCACAGTGCTATAACTGTTACTCATACCAGCATATCACCAAAAACTGCCCTGCCAAAGACAAGAAGTACTGCTCCACCTGTGGCCTTGAGGGCCACGACTTCAAGAATTGCACTACTGCTTCCCCACCGCAATGCTTGAACTGCAAGGATGACCATCATACTCTTGCTGCCAGGTGCCCTATCAGAAGGGACATACTCAAGAAACAACAGCAAAAAACAGAAGCCCAAACCACAAGCACCCACATATTCTGCTATTGCCAAGATTCAAGCAGACACTACCAAGATCCTACAAGCCATGCAAGCTGCTCCTACTACCTTCCTCACAGCACCTGCTGCCGATCCCACCAAGATCCTATGTTGCATCATGTATGCTCATGTGCAGAATGCAGCTGAGCCTGGCTCCTTCAACTCCACCATCAACGAAGTATTCAAACTCAACAACATGCCTGAACTCACATTCCCTGCATCTCCACCTTCCACTGAGATCCTACAAACCACTGCAAATATTGCCAGCTTAACTGCTGTGCCACCACTGTCACAACCTCCACCTGACATAGAGATGGACCAGTCTGAGACTACTGATACGGCGGTGAATTCCACCAATGAGAATCCACCAATGTCAGCCACAGCACCGTGTCTTTCTTTTACAGATGACACCCGAATCTGCATGACAGTGTCTTCCATTGCAGACACTGCAAGGCTCCAGGCGGACATCAACCAAATCTTTCAGTGGGCTGCAGAAAACAATATGAAGTTCAACGATGAGAAATTTAAATTACTCAGATATGGTAAACATGAGGAAATTAAATCTTCATCAGAGTACAAAACAAATTCTGGCCACAAAATAGAGCGAAACACCAACGTCAAAGACCTGGGAGTGATTATGTCGGAGGATCTCACCTTCAAGGACCATAACATTGTATCAATCGCATCTGCTAGAAAAATCACAGGATGGATAATGAGAACCTTCAAAACTAGGGAGGCCAAGCCCATGATGACACTCTTCAGGTCACTTGTTCTATCTAGGCTGGAATATTGCTGCACTCTAACAGCACCTTTCAAGGCAGGTGAAATTGCCGACCTAGAAAATGTACAGAGAACTTTCCACGGCGCGCATAACGGAGATAAAACACCTCAATTAACTGGGAGCGCTTGAGGTTTCTAAACCTGTATTCCCTGGAACGCAGGAGGGAGAGATACATGATTATATACACCTGGAAAATCTAGAGGGACTAGTACCGAACTTGCACACGAAAATCACTCACTACGAAAGCAAAAGACTTGGCAGACGATGCACCATCCCCCCAATGAAAAGCAGGGGTGTCACTAGCACGTTAAGAGACCATACAATAAGTGTCAGGGGCCCGAGACTGTTCAACTGCCTCCCAGCACACATAAGGGGGATTACCAACAGACCCCTGGCAGTCTTCAAGCTGGCACTGGACAAGCACCTAAAAGTCAGTTCCTGATCAGCCGGGCTGTGGCTCGTACGTTGGTTTGCATGCAGCCAGCAGCAACAGCCTGGTTGATCAGGCGCTGATCCACCAGGAGGCCTGGTCACAGACCGGGCCGCGGGGGCGTTGACCCCCGAAACTCTCTCCAGGTAAACCTCCTGCCTCCACCACCACCACAACTGTCCAAGCCGAGGCCTTGCCTCGGACGACTCAACCGCCATCCAAGAAAGCTAAAATGCAAGAAGCAAGGGCTGCAACTCCCCACACCGCTACTACTGCTACACCACACCAAGGAGTCAAGGTCAAGGCTCCCAAAACTCAAGAACCTAGAGCTGCAGCTCCCCAGGCCGCCGCCAATCCCCCACGGCAACAAGAAACCAAGGGCAAGAGTGGTGGACACTGCACATCCAACCAGAAGAAGAACCCAATGCAAACTCCAGAACGTGGGCAGGATAACAAAGACACTGTGAATCCCCACTTACAAGAATTTGCCAACAAAATCTACACTGCCTTCAACAATGCTGGAATCGACCACATAGCACTGAGGAACAGGTTTAATCAGCTTGCTGAAGAGGATCCCCTCTTCTAGCACCACCGTCAAGACAAGTTTCCCCAGCACTTTGCTGCCTGCTAAAGCTGAGGTGTGGCTCCAATGGGACCCGGTTTTCTGCCTCTGCCCAACTGTGACATTGAAGATCCCAAGCAAGAAGACACTCCCCACTTGGGGAGTCAATGCAAGATAGAAGAAGAAGTTACCCTCCAACCGGAGGGCCCAAGAGAGAAGATAGAAGAATGAAGAAGACGAACGACACCCCCGCCCCGGGGGCCACCGCCGGGTCAC